ACATTACCGAATAAGAGCTAAACAAGTCCTCTAGAAATTGCATCAAATACTTTTGCAAATTCTTTAGCAGTTATGGGGATCTTGTAATTGAAATAAATTCACAATAATTAAAAGTTGTCTATTACTTTTGAATAACTGTATCATCAATATAATATCATTATTTTTTTTTATTAAAAAAAACATTTTAAGGTCAAAATTATTAGCCCCTATAGGCTATATTTTCCAATAGTTTACAGAATAAACCATAGTTATACAATAAAAATAAACAGCGGGGCCAATAATTCTGACTTTAACAGTTTATACTAAATGTGACGAAACTTCTGTTTTTGCTAATAATGTTCTTTTTTTTAATTGACAAATCTCTCATTAACCATAAGTTTAATGTTTGTTAATAATTGGTGTAAAATTCAGATTACTTCTCTCTTTTTGATCTTTACAAATTTTTAGACCCAAATATTTTACCATCTTCTTTACTGGAAAACCATATATATTAGTATCATTGCATATTTTCAGAGAGAACACCACACATTTTTTAATATTTAAACTTAAACCAGATGCAGATGAAAAAAGATTGAGGCAATCAATAGCAGTTTTAATTTTAATTTCATTATTTTGAAAAATGTCAGTGTTGTCAGCTAACTGAGAACCTTTTACTTCTGTCTCTAAAATTCTATTACCTCAAAATCTATCTCTTTTGATATGCAGGGCCATAGTTTGTGTTACCAGTAAGAAAAGAAAGGGTGAAATATAGGACAATCTTGACGTACTGTATGCTCCTCTTGATCTTGATGTTTTTCCATGTGATAATTTTATTTAGTTTAAATAAAGCCTTTATAAAATAATCTTTAAAGCCAAAAAAATAAGAGTCTTAAACATAAAACTATGATCAATTGTATCAAATGCAACAAATAAAATAAAACTATTATCCAAAACTAATTCATTGTAATCAATCAAATCTAAAATGAGCCTTATATTACTGGAAAAGTGTCGCCCTTTCATAAATCCTGATTGACATACATCGATAATAGGGTCTTTCTGCAAATACAAGCAAATATTTTTGGGAGATTATCATTCATTTGTGGGCATCCGGGAGTGTCTACTGTATGCATTTCAGGGATACTCCCGCAACTTCCGGGAGACTTGGGATGTCTGAATTACACACCTAGGGCCTGTTTCAGTAAGAAGGTTCAAACAACTCGGAGTTTAAACTTGAACTCTAAGTTGATTTACCGAGTTTTCGGTTTCAGAATAGCTGATCTGAGCTGGGTCAATCAACTTTGAGTAGACCAACTCAGAGTTAAGCGCACACCGTGACTATAAAAAGGCATTATCAATAGAGCGCAGATATTACGAGTGACCATGGCAACATCTTTAAAAAAGAGATCACCATTTCTTTCTCCGGCTGAACTTGATCTGCACATGCAAAGTTATAGCAAATATGAGTGTATATATTTAAAAATAAGCAACCATCAGTGAAACAGAGACAGTTAGCGTGGGAAAACTCAAGTTAACTGCTCAAGTTAATGCGTAATTTTTAATTTTAAGTATTTAAACATTTAAGTATAATAAAATAAGTAATGTAAAGTGTGACGTTTATACATTTTTTCTAAACTTTTATACACTTTTATCAGTTTTAATAGATTTAACAGTGCACTTGTTGTGTGTCTGCCTTTTTATTGATCAAGTGAGGTTGATATAACATTAAGAAGGTAAGCAGTAATAAAATATTTTTAGACAGAATACTAATCCCATTAATCTAGTAACAGTGCATGTCGAAGGTTAAGCTAATTGTTTATGAAAAAAGGACAAGCCTCGTATGTGATTTGTTCTGTGTGTGACAAAAATGTAGGCAATAGCTGTGTTTCCATCAAATAGGCTATTACATAAATTTGTGCAAAACTGGAATAACGCCTAAAAATAAAGCAGAGTTTTTATCCAAAGAGTCGAAGAGAACACAATCGTCACTTCCTGATTAACTTGCACCAAATATCAACAGTAAAAACAGAATTTACTGCGGTAGAAGAAGCTGCGTCAATGATTTTTTATTTAATTAATGTACTTGCGCCTCAGAAGACAATGCTGACACACAATGAACTAGGGTTGTAACGGTATGAATTTTTCACGGTATGATAATCGTCTAAAACAATACCACGGTTTGACGGTTTCGCGGTATACGGTATGTTACAAATGTTACAAAATAATAGAACAGTGAAGCAAATTTGACTTTTTCCAAATAATATATTTTTAGTTACTATAAACAACACCAATTACAATGAACAAATAAAAATAAGAAAATAATAAATAATGTGTCAAAGTCCAAATAAAGTCCAAATAAACATGGTGCAAATCCTCAGTAAAAAATAGATATAAATATTTACTATACTATAAATAGTTACATAACGAAACTAGATTCAATATGGAACATCCTTAGGTTTTATGTGCCAGCATGGATATGGTTGTCTATGGATATGGATATGGTTGTCTGCAATGCAGACAAACAGCTGCATCTTCATTTGCGTCTTTTGAAAACAGCAAGAGCAGCAGTTCGTCTTTGCTGTGTCACTGTTTTGTCATGTTTCTGTGCTGCTGTGCATGCAAAAGTACTTAGTATGAGAATTATTTCATGCAAAACTTTTTTTTTTTTTTGCGTTTTATTTAGCCGCGCATAAATGTATGCCTATCTCTCATTCCGTGTTGTTCAAAAAGCTTAGTCCACAAACAAAAGCGAAACCTATGCTTATTGGTTGTGATATAGCGAGTTTGAACCAATCTGGGCATGGAGGAGGGACAATGCATCGATGTATCATGTCTGATTTGTCCGGAGACACAGTGACGAGCGTTTCTTTGTCAAATCAGCGTTGTCAAATGTTGATGACGTAACCGCACTGATTCCGGAGCCTCTGAAAGTCCGAATGTTATGTGATACAGCACTGGAAAGCTGAGATTCTCTTCTTTATGCCAATCTTTGAATTGTATGAATCGGATCAGCGGATCAAAAGTTATTAAACATTTAAGAGCAATAACGTTACTTATTTTTAGCCGCGGGCGGCTGTCTCGGTCTTTAAGGGTTAAAACCGTTGATATGCAATTGTTCATGGTATGATAATCGTGCACGTTCAAATCGTGGTAAACCGTCATACCGGTATATTGTTACAACCCTACAATGAACACGTGGGGGCGTTTGAAGCCAGACGCGGAGATCTTGACACGCTCCAGACGCTCGGAGGTAATTAATAATATACATTAATACTGAAACAGTTAAGTCATTTTAGAATGACTTAAACAACATTTAAGATGTTCTGCAGTGTGCTCAGTCTGCTGGTTTGTCCATTCACACACATTTTCATCATCATCTCTAACAAACCTTTTTTTAATGTACATACTGTAATTTGTTAAGTGCACTTCGTAGTTTATGTGCATCTTATCAAATAAAAGTTTAACCTACTCAGTTATGCACATGTTTTATTATGCCTATTTTCAAAAGTTATGTGAATCATGACGTTTCCATCAATCGTTTTTACGGGCATCTCCAAAATGAGCTCTAAAATAGGTGTGGAGACGTAAGGCTAATGCGAGAAATACGCTTCATCTTTAAAAAAGGGGAGGAGACCGACAGAAACTCAGAGTTTAGAGAATAAAACCTGCTCCGGACCAGGTTAGATTCACAGAGTAAATTACCACAGTAACTGACTCTGAGTTAAAGTTACCTTTCTTTCAGAAACAGGCTTGACTTACCCTGATTTCTTGAGTTAAACAAACCTGCCATTTTGAAACGGAAAACCCAGAGTTTCTCTCATTTCAGGGTTAAAATACTCTGAGTTTTCACTTAACCTCCTTTCTGAAACAGGCCCCTGCTGTTCTAAGTCTTTGTCTACCTTTATACTCCTCCAAACCCACACTCCACCCAGTGGTCAAAAACAGCATTTCAACAAACATAATGGCTCTTACACCCCGGCCCCTAATTGTACATGGCAGGTGACATAACAATTTAACCATGTTCATACAGAGAGCCATTAAAGCAACACTATAAACATTGTATTAATCAATTCTGTGTAGGTGTAAAATTTAACAGTCTTTACCATCAGTCCATTATATTTCCATGCTGTCATACAACAGACAAAGTTTTGTCACAGGTCTCTCAAGTACACTGGTTTTAGTTTGTACTCGCACAGAACGAACAAGTCCATTTTTATCTGGAAAAACCTCCAGAATTCGCCCCATTAACCAAGACCCTCGAGGAGCAGACGAGTCCACAATGACATTAATGTCACCAGGAACAAAATTTCTCCTTTCCTTATTCCATTTCTGCCAATCTTGAAGCAAAGGCAAATATTCATTTGTCCATCTTTTCCAGAAAAAGTCAGACATATACTGGACCTGTTTCCATCTCCTCTTGCTGTATAAATCAGATTTATCAAATAATCCAGGTTGTAATACTGGTTTACCTTTCATCTGAAGAAGATGGTTTGGAGTAACTGGCTCCAAATCATTGGGGTCATCTGACAACTTAGTTATTGGGCGATCATTTAGAATGGCCTCAATTTCACATAGGACAGTATGGAATCCTTCATCATCCAAAATCTGCTGATGTAGGATGGAGTTCAAAATTCTTTTGACCATTCTAATTACACGTTCCCAGATTCCACCGTAATGCGAACCTCCTGGAGGATTGAAACTCCACTGGACACCTTTCTGGAGCATTGCCCTTTGAATCTTGTTTTGATTACATGATCTTAGTGATTCCTTTAATTCCTTTTCTGCGCCAACAAAGTTGGTACTGTGGCGGCGTTCCATTGCCGCTATTGTTGGTAGAGCAAGCAAGTTTTGTACACGTAAAGTCAGAGTCTGTAGGCAAAATAGATGCAAATAAAAAACGTCTTTATTTTCCAATCAACTTCAAATCAACAGAATTACTTAATCACTTTCCTTAATCTATATGCACACTTCTCTGTTACCTTGTGTTACGTTACGCTCAGATACGAGACGGTCAAAAACTGTGTACTTCCTACCAACACTGTCCTACTCCATGCAGTGAAGACACAGTTATAAAGTCTTCTACTGACACCTTGTGGCCAATAGCCAAAATACAATGTATGGCTCCTACACCTGTACTAGTTATTAATCATGGTCTTACTAGGCTTAATGCAAACTCCAATTCTAATTCAGCAAATAAATGGACAAAACATGACAAACACAACTGTTCAATTGACACAATTTTATTTCAATTCAACAATACATTTTTGGCAGCAACACCGCAAGACGCAAGTATTGCTGCCTCAAGCTCTGACACGGGACATTAGCAAGAAGCAAAGGACTGGAGAGGTGGTGAGGCCACTGGTGTTAGCATGCCTGGCTAATAAGCTCTTCCTGCATGACCAGGACCGGGCGCTCATCCTCCATGTCTGATGGTGAGATCTAAAGCAAAAACAAAAACAAAATCAGGTTTATTGTCCCCAAAATAACTGACATTTTGAAAAGTTTTTGTAGATCATAGGTACCGTAAACCAGTCGTGGAGGAGAATCTGCTCCAGTGGTATCCTCTCGCTGGGATCAGGATGCAGACAGGCATTTATGAGATGACTGCATTCTGAAAGACAGGATTAATGTTTGACTATTACTTTAAACATCGTTTACATCTCCTGATGGCATTTTGGACAGCTGAGTCAAGTGGCTTTGTCAGACACTTTTTTGTATGATTGTTACAATTTTTTCAAGTTCTTACCACAAGACAAAGATGGCAGATACCAGAGCCAGTGCTGCATCTTTTCCCGATCCGTGTAGTCTGGCATATATCCGCACACCATAGTGTATAGCAGCACTCCAAGCGAATACACGGTTGCTGGCCGTGCTAAGTATTTGCCCGTTTCGAAAAACTCTGGAGGGCAGTACATCTCTGTGCCTGGAGGAAAGAGATTTGCATGTCTGAGTTACAACAGTTTGTTTTTACTGTATTCAGCAGCTTGTGTGTCATGACACTAAAGTTTTAATACTGTACATACCACTAAAAGTGTGGTACTCTGTTTCATGGAACAGGTTCCCACAGCCGAAGTCAATCAGGGTGACATCCATGGTGTGTGTGTTGACTATCAAGTTCTCCAATTTTATATCTCTGTGGAATACTCCGCGCCGGCAGCAGGTCTCAGCTGCCTCGATAACCTGGCGCATCACATATCGAGCAAACCTTTCTTCAAAGATGTTGCCACAGCTCTCCAAAAGCTTGAACACACTCAGGCATGGTGAAGGGCGCTGCAGGACCATTATATAATGGTCTGGAAAGTCCTGCCAATCCAGCAGATCGATTATGTTGGGTGAGCTGGGACCCTTGTTTGCCATAAGTGTGAGGCCGATTTCAAGTGGTACAAGTTCTGGAAGGCCAGGCTAGTGGAAAGAGTTTTTAGGAGGGTTAAATTAAGGTGGTTTGCACAACATGTTTATAATTTGTTTATTGAGAGATAGTTTGCTGTCTATGATTAACACTGTTAAAAAAATAAAACAGAGTTAGAGGAGATGAGTCTACTTACAACGTAGAGATATTCCATGCCCTCCATTTTTCTGGCAAACTTGATTGCCACCTGATCAACAAAACAGAATATAACAGTTAGCACTGGATTACATCAGACCATTCAATAATCCTTGTTGAAATTCTAGTCATGAATTTGTAGCATGTTTGGTCAGGTTGACCATTTATCAAGGGCTCTAATTGTGTTACAAACGACAAAGCATAACACATAAATATAGTTTGTTAGGTTGATTATGCAAAAAATATATGTAAATTTACCGGAAGACCATCATGGGCACGGACACCAGCATATACGGCACCAAATCCTCCTTCTCCCAGTAGCTCACCCATGTTGTAGGTCCAGCACATGCCTGTTCAAATATAATTAGTTTTAGAGACAGATTCATATTCTACAATGCAAAAGTTAAACTTTATTACCACTTTATACACCATTACGTCACTAATACATAATGCAGAAACATCTAATCCTTTCAAAAAGTGAAAGCATCAAGCAGCCATAATTAATATGAACTTACTCCCAATAATCAAGACCATGTCTTGGCTTGGGTTTTCTGCCAGAGGACACACAGTTTCTTCCTCTGACAGATCATCTGGAAACTCCTGGATTTGTTCGTCAACAGTGAAGAGAGGAATCTCAAAACTACTGTTGGGAGTGTTCTGAGGACCATTACTCTCTACAGAAGATATGGTCTCCACTGAAGTTGGATCTAAAGAGGAAAATATAACAATTATATATGAACTAACAAACATTTCAATACTGCTACAAATAATACATTTATAGTATTTACAAAGACAAAACTGAAGAGTTCAGATACACAAACATCTGCACATCTGAACATTTGAACTCTGCAAATGTTTAAAGCTATGATGATCTTCTTTAATGATTAAGTTCAGTAAACACAAAAGATGAAGAGATTTACCATCAGTAGACGTTTCTTCCTCCAGCTCCACATTCTCACACTGTTCCTGTATTTGCAGGTCAATGATGGAGGAAGGAACCTCAAGGCTGTTAGGAGCTTGCTGGTAGTCATGATGCTCAACAATTCTTGAGATGTTTCCTACTGAGGTTTGATCTAAAGAGGGGAACATACATTCATCATTTACTTTAATAAAACACACAGAAACGTTTCAATCTTTTTACAAATACATTTGCAGAGACAATATTTTAAAGCTAAGGTGATCATTTTTATAAAAAAAAAATTTCCAGTCACACAAAAAATAAAGGGATTTACCATCAGTAGAAGGTTCTGCTTCGTTGACTGGCTTCACCTTCTCACTGTCCACCTGCTTCACCTTTTCACTCCTTCCAGTTCTTGGGCGTGAAAAGCGGAACAGCTTTCTCCAAAAACTCGATTTTTTCTTCTCTTTCTTTTTCTCCTTTACCAAACTCCCTACTCCATCTTCCTCACAAGGAACAACACGGCTCTCATCAAGCTGATGGTTTTCAAGACGAGGCGTGTCATTATTTAACTGAAGTGGTGTACTAGGATGTAAACTGTACACACACTCCGACTCTGTCGCTATATTCAGACAAGAAATTCGCTGACCCATGATAAAACAAACGCACTGTCTCACTCCAAACTACCCACTAAAACTAAATTACACTGTCAAGCCTTAACATTCCACATTGACGTTCTAATTATGACATCAAATAAAATGTCCTTGAGATCAATTTGTTTTGTTTTAAAATTTGCTGAACTACATATTGCATACATAATACCTGACAATTCTTATAGTAATGCCTAAAATAAAGCTAAAATAAATATTAAATCATATTATAAATGTAAATTTACTTGTTTTAATACTTGTTCAAACACTTATATAAATATTTAATTCCGTAATTCTGCCGTATAATGCTGCGTCGCTAATACTTTCTTATTGGTTTAATTCTCTTTCTCAACCACTTGAGGGCGTCAAATATCATGGTATCTGAACAGAACTGATAGTCCACATTACTTCATGATCTCAGTGGGAGTAGTCTACTTGAAGAGTTTTATTTCTTTTTGTATGTATATTTAAAGTATAAGGAATTGAAGTCAGAAATGAATTAGAGTAAAGATGTGTGGATGGGATTTAATAACATAATAATTTGAATCTACTGAATTTAGTATTGAAAACATGGTATTTTCCTTTCATTTTCCTTATAGGTTAGAGGACGTGTGTTTTTCAGGAAACAATTTTAATTAAATAAAATATATTTCAAAATGTTTGTTTAAATTATGAATCTCGGCCTGGTTTTGATCTAACTTGTAACGGGTGTTAACAATCTCCAGCCACTCTTTTTAACACTTTCTGGCTTTGTCCAGCACTAAGCACTTTTTGGGCATCAATTTTTAAATCAATTTCTAAATGTTTTCTTTTATAAGACCATGATTGCATATAGCCCACTTTTTCAAACTCTACCGGAAACACACACCAAGACCACAGAGCACACTCTCTCTCATATATAGTCACTTGAATATATGATTTCATCTCAAAACACTATGGATTTGAGTGTGTCATTTTTTTTAGTTATCAAGTGACCTTGAATTTCATGTTTCATGTGATTAACTAGGCTTGAAACTACACTCTACAGCAGTTTAAGTTAAAAATTCTGCTGTATTTAAGCAGCGTTTATACCCAAAACCAAAAATCCTGTCATAATGTATTCACCCTTTACTAGCTGCAGACCTGTTTGACTTCTTCTGTTGAGCAGAAAGGAGGATATTTTGAAGAAAACAGGAAACTTGTAACGCTTAATTCCATGTTTTTTTTGCTGTGGAAGTCCATGTGCACAGGTTTTCATTTATTCATTCCTTTGGCTTAGTTTTTTTTTTATTTATCAGGGGTCACCACAGCAGAATGAGCCAACTATTACAGTATATGTTTTACACTGCGAATGCCCTTCCAGGCGCAACCCAGTACTGGGAAACACCCATACACACTCATTCTCACACACTCACATATACACCAAGGTCTATTTAGTTCATCCAATTCACCTATAGCACACGTCCTTGGTACCCAGAGGAAACCCACGCGAACCCACGCGAACACTGGGAGAGCATGCAAACACCACACAGAAATGCCAACTGGCTCAGCCAGGACTCGAACCAGCAACCTTCTTGCTGTGAGGCAAAGGTTTTCAGCTTTCTTCAAAATAGTCTGTAGTGTTCAATAGAAAAAAGAAACTTGTCAATGTTTGAAACCACTTGAGGGTGAGTAAATAGAGTGTAAATTGTAATTTATGTGTGAACTATCCCTTTAAAGGTTATTCTATCTAGAGGATCAGAACAAAAAAATAAAAAAAACATTGTGACGCTGAAAAATAACGTATTAGAAGAATTACATCTTATTACACAGACAGATGTTTGAACATTATATTTTTATGTGAATAAATTAATGGTTAGGATGCTCACATTGCTTGAGCTGAACACCAGACAATTGCATCCATTATGTGGCCAATAGGCTATGAACAGCTAGTGTTTTTTAGCCAATGAAAAAGTGTTTCAGCTAGAGTAGACAGCTAGTGTTTTTCAGCCTTTTTTTTTTTTTTTGCATAACAAGAACAATAGCATACAAAAATGAGAAATACAATACTTATATTTTTTTCACATCAAAGGAACAAATCAGTAATCAGTAGAGCAGGGGTCACCAATCTCGGTCCTGGAGGGCCGGTGTCCCTGCAGGGTTTAGCTCCCACTTGCCTCAAAACACCTGCCTGGATGTTTCAAGTGTACCTAAGACCTTGATTAGCTTGTTCAGGTGTGTTTGATTAGGATTGAAGCTAACATCTGCAGGACACCGGCCCTCCAGGAACAAGTTTGCAGACCACTGCAGTAGAGAATAAAAAACAAACAAAATAAATTACAGGTATATATAAACCACAAAAATATTTGCATAAGAAAATGAATCCATAATTGCACACATCCTTGAAGCTTTTTTATGTTTTTATGACTTTTAGGGTTTCAATATAATGCTGAAAATCATTTTTTAAACAAAAAAATATTAGGCCTATCATTGGACCATTTTTGTTTGTGTACACAGTACTTCCTATATATCACCATTATAATTAATATTTAATATTGAATAAATTAATATTGTTATTATAAACAAATTTTGCTCCACAGTTTTGTTATTACTATTGCATATCAAAAAATAAATTTACAAGAAAACTGAATTTTTAATTTTGTAAGTTTAGATTTAAGATATTCAACATCAAACCAAAACATTTGGGTATATGTGCACTTAAAAAAACAGGTTTTATCAATTCCTCCTCTAATTCACAAAATGTGCACGTAGATTCTAAGTCTCAAAAAAATTTTAACAACTTGTTTCATTGGATAAATTAGATGTATTAGTTTATATGTCACTTCTTTAACTTTATTGGTAAGACTGTATTTACTAGGTAAGTTTTAAACTTTTTTCCACTCAATTTGCTCAAATAAGGAATTTCAAAAAGATTTGCATTTAGGCAACAATGTAGTTCTACAAAACCTTTTAACGTAACAGTTATTCAATTTATTATCTATAATTTTCACACCATTGATACTTAACTGATTACTAAGTAAAAAATTTGATTCAGTGAATAAATTACCGAATAAGAGCTAAACAAGTCCACTAGAAATTGCATCAAATACTATTGCAAATTCTTTAGCAGTTATGGGGATCTTGTAATTGAAATAAATTCACAATAATTAAAAGTTGTCTATTACTTTTGAATAACTGTATCATCAATATAATATCATTATTTTTTTAATTAAAAAAACATTTTAAGGTCAAAATTATTAGCCCCTTTAGGCTATATTTTTTCATTAGTTTACAGAATAAACCATAGTTATACAATAAAAATAAACAGCGGGGCTAATAATTTATGGGGGCTAATAATTCTGACTTTAACAGTTTATACTAAACGTGACGAAACTTCTGTTTTTGCTAATAATGTTTTTCTTTTAATTGACAAATCTCTCATTAACCATAAGTTTAATGTTTGTTTTGTTTTCTTAATAATTAGTGTAAAATTCAGATTACTTCTCTCTTTTTGATCTTTACAAATTTTTTGACCCAAATATTTTACCATCTTCTTTACCGGAATACCATATATATTAGTATCATTGCATATTTTCAGAGAGAACACCACACATTTTTTAATATTTAAACATAAACCAGATGCAGATGAAAAAAGATTGAGGCAATCAATAGCAGTTTTAATTTTAATTTCATTATTTAGAAAAATGTAAGTGTTGTCAGCTAACTAAGAACCTTTTAGCTCTGTCTCTAAAATTCTATTACCTCAAAATCTATCTCTTTTGATATGCAGGGCCATAGTTTGTGTTACCAGTAAGAAAAGAAAGGGTGAAATATAGGACAACCTTGACGTACTGTATGCTCCTCTTGATTTCAAATCTTGATGTTTTTCCTTGTGATAATTTAACTTAGTTTAAATAAAGCCTTTATAAAATAATCTTCAAAGCCAAAAAATAAGAGTCTTAAACATAAAACTATGATCAATTGTATCAAATGCAACAAATAAAATAAAACTATTATCCAAAATTAATTCATTGTAATTAATCAAATCTAAAATGAGTCTTATATTACTGGAAATGTGTCGCCCTTTCATAAATCCTGATTGACATACATCAATAATAGGGTCTTTCTGCAAATACAAGCAAATATTTTTGGGAGATTATCATTTATTTGCGGGCATCCGGGAGTGTCTATGCATTTCAGGGATACTCCCGCAACTTCCAGGAGACTTGGGATGTCTGAATTACACACCTGCTGTTCTAAGTCTTTGTCTACCTATATACTCTTCCAAACCCACACTCCACCCAGTGGTCAAAAACAGCATTACAACAAACATAATGGCTCTTACACCCCGGCCCCTAATTGTACATGGCAGGTAGACATAACAATTCAACCATGTTCATACAGAGAGCCATTAAAGCAACACTATAAACATTGTATTAATCAATTCTGTGTAGGTGTAAAATTTAACAGTCTTTACCATCAGTCCATTATATTTCCATGCTGTCATACAACAGACAAAGTTTTGTCAC